CCCCCCCCCCCCCCCCCCCCCCCCCCCCCCTTTTCCTCCGTTTTTCCATTCCTTGAGCAAAATCCAGACTAAAACCAACTATCCTCACATGTGTCTGCATTTCGACAGCGCTAAAAACATAACAGTGCGGTTGCGAATGAATCAAAAAATCACATGGAAAGAAAAAAGGCATTTCTCTACTAATATGTTTTGAAGCTGATTTTATAGTTTAGTAAAAGAATTCAATAAATAGCATGAAAGCCCAGACCTTACAAGCTCCAGCAAGCCTTCGGCTTTCTAGCAACAGCTCAGCTTTTTCACTTTCTGAATCCAGTGATTTTCTCGGTGACTGATTTGGTAAATTATTCATCGTTTTTTCTAACCGTTTTCGCAAGTTTTCCACCCTGCAAGCTCTTGGTTAACGTAACAGCTCAAATGCAAAAATCCGAAATCGTCTGCTCTCATCTAATTTGTTGCACTGCTCGTGACGAAGAAGAATCTAAGTGGATGCCTGGAAGAGCCAACTGTGAGAGAAATAAGTAGTTCAATTCGACTTTTTTGGCTATTTTTTAACGGACTTGGTGACAGCCAGAACGCGTTTTTCCGCAATCTACGAGATCATCCAGGAGGCCAAATATTGTTGGCTACAGGCCGTTAAATCTACTGAAAAGCGATTTCACTGTGACTGAGTTGCACTGAATTTGGCCATCATTTCTCCCTCTGCTGTGGGCGATTTCTCCTTGTGCTGACAGTTGTATTTTTTCAAAATTTGGAAAGAAAAATATTTGTTTTAGGGAGCAGTTCCTCTTTCACGAAACTAGTGCTTATTTTTTTACTTTATTTATCTGACTTTTTTATAGCCTCATTTCCCTGTTCCCTGTTCTCATAGCATGAGAAGTTACCAAGTATATGTGTCCTACAATGTTTTTAATTTGTTAATATCGTCACTGACCGTAGTAGTACTGGTGGCAATTGCAGTATCGAAAACACGTATACAGCTTAATGGACCGAAGTGCTTTAGCTCATTTTCTGCTTAGAATCTGTCAGAGTTATAATCTTCTCCGTATTTCCCGAAATTTTTCTTTTATCCATAATTTTGTTAAGCATTTTGCTGAACACTTATTGGTGTTTTTTTTTTTTTGATTCCATGCTATAATTAGTTTTTCTTCTGCACATATGCTATAATCCATTGAATTACTTGCTCGAAGAGTCTGAATTGCTTCTCAAAAAATTTATCAAGTTGTTTTTGAACTTCCACTTGAATACTTTTACAGCTTAAAGTGTATGCTTCTTAGCTCATTTCTGACCGTATTTTTGAAATACAATGAGAAATGCCTTTCGATGCGGTAAATTTGTTTTCCTAAACTCGCTTCAGCGCACATATCTCTTAAAAACTTCCATGGGAAGCAAACCAGTCCTCGTACTACACCTTAGCTTGAAGTGGTGGAGAAATTTTAAACGGCGTCAGAGCCGGAAACGCATATGCGAGTTAAAACGTGATGTATGATGCCTGAATCAAAATTCAGGTGTTGTTGAGTCTCTGATGAGCTGTGCATGTGAAACAGATAAACAGGAGAGGGTTTTCTGTTCTCTTTGACTTTCCAGAAACAAATGGAGCCCAAAGCAAAGCCGATGTAAATTTCAGTTTGAATCATCAACCATCTTGAAAATTGTCCGTTGCAAAGTGAGATAGAAAACTCCTCAGAACAAAGTTATTGAACCGAAACAATCCTATTCAGAGCTTCCGCCTGCCCCTTGCTATATGATATATTTTCCATAAATTATTTAATTTATGCTCTCCTTATAAATCATTCAGTTAGTTTTTATTTAATTAATGTTTTCCTTTAATTAGTTTTTATTTAATATTTTTCCTTCACCATTTTTCACACTTGTTTAGTCTTTGCTTTCTCTGTGTTTACTGGCTCCTAGTCCTATAGTAA